AGATATATTCTTCAGTACCGGGGGGATCTCGTATCATCCATTACGTAATACTAATTCCATTTTATCTTGAAAACACAGTCATGAAGAAGGAAAGTGCTTTCTGCCCATTGTTTTGTGCAGCTGTATGCTATATATTTTTGAATTTGTTTTTATCTAGGAATCTTTGTTTAGTGTTTAGTGACAACTGGTGATACAAGACATCACCTTGTGTGTGTGTGAGGTTCTGAAATTAGCTTTAAGAAAATAGGAATAGAAAGGAGGACCTCTAGTAGGCAAAAATTGTCCGGCTAATTGTACGTGGATCCAACTGTGTATTTGTTATTATAGTAGCAAGTACCAACATGGAACCACAGAATGATGCAGGCGTCGCTTTGCAGGTGCCTCCGTTGTCGTCTTCAAGACCTTCATTTTCTTAGAGCAAGATGGTTTGTACCGAATCGTAGGGAAGCTGCTCTGAGGAAGCTCCGAGGAGGCAGAGAAAGGAGATGTTGAAGCACGTATCGGTCCTGTCCTCAACAGAACTGAATTTTGTGCTAAAGTTTAATTACYTCAGTTTAAAAAAACTAATGAAGACTTCCTATTTTTAGCTTGATTATAGTCTGCTCTACTGTCTGTCTTCTGTGCATCCATTGATGGTGCTGTCCTGTTACTAGGAAGCAAAGCTAAAGTACCTTGGCTTTGATCTACAGTGATTATTTGGTTAATTTTTTCTTCACTGGTTATTTTGGAATCCTGCTGAGCTGCACTATAATGATTGAATTCAAAACAGTGTTTTTAATCAATTTAAATATGAACCTCATTTCTAACATTTTTTAAAAATTATTTTTAATAAAAGTCTGCTAATGGTATCAGACTTTTAAACACTGAGTGGAAAAACTGATGACAGGATTTTTTCCGGACCCCTAAATGAGAAGTATTTTTTTAATATGATGGCTTAAACRAAATATGCTATTTATAAAGTGAACAAAAGAATGACCGTGCAAGAGATTTCATCCCAAAGTTCCCACAGAGACTTTCMTTGAGCTCCAGGCTACTTTTAAAATCCTGCTGACTTTCCCTTTCCCCCTTCCCTCAGGATTTACCTCTCTGTGTAAAATTTTTTGGGGGTGGAAAGAGTAGAAATCTCTCTCACTGTTAAACCCACTGGCTTAGGGTGGGAACGGGAATGTTTAATTCGTAAATAAGGAACAGATTGAAGAAAGGGTTTTACCCCTAGATCTTGGCAGGAAATAAAATACAACAAAACAAACAAGATTGAAGTGTGTTGCTCAGGAAATATGAAGCTGCTATGAGTGTTAATACAGCTAACAGCTGGAAGGGTCAGTGTGAGACGAGGTTAGTGATTGGGTTGGAGGGAACTCTTGAGTCATCAGCTTTTTGGATGCTCTTTTAATTAAAAAACATCACTCTTGAAACTCTCCTGATGCCAATTTTCATGTGTCTTTCCTCAATCTGAAAAGGAAAATAAAAGTAATTGCAGTTTGATAAATGCTGCTCTCTCTGATGGCTGGTGAGCGAGGGAGCGGAGTGGGCGGCTCTGGCTCCTCTCCCTCGTGTGAGACGCGTCGTCTTCTCTTCGCTCATCTCTTTTCTCCAACTCTAAGTGAGGACAACRTCGCTGTCACCCTGCAAATTGGGCAGCCAGAATCCTCTGCCCTGAGCTCCCTGACCGCTGCCTCTGCCCAGGCGCCCGCCGCAGCCCTCCGCTCCCCGGGGCACCGTCAAAGTTGCTGTTTTTACCTGTTGGCTTTCTCTTTTGTCACATTTCTGGCAGTTTTTTAAGGGCTTCTGTACAGGAGTTGGTGCTTTATGGAAAGARCGTGTCATGCAGAGCCAGAATGCACTACTCTGTTTTTTCTCCCCCTCTTTCTTGCCTCTGCTTCTTGTCCCACTCCAGGGCATTCTTAACTGCTGCCTCTTTGTGCAAGCTCTTGGGGATATAGATTTTCCATGGCCAAAGCTTTGTATCAGAGAAAGCAGCATCAAGGGAAAGATGTTTTTTCCTTTTACAGATGAAAGAAAATTGCTTTGTTTTCAGATTCCCAAACGGCCAGACCAACTTGCTGTCAAAATAAAAATCTTTGTTCATATTCTTTCTGTGCCCTTCTACTGTATTAATAAGATAGGTTGGAGAGGACATTTATCTAGGGTTGCTAAGCAAATAAGAAACTTCAGCTAGCCATGGACAACCTCGCTGCATTAACTCTCTAGAACCAACAGTTAACCTGCGATGAGCTCTTATTTTGTTCTAAAGATGGATGTCTTGTAATTCCATTGGATGTATTTGCTGTGAAATATTGGAAAAACACCAAAAATCAAATATCAGATGAGCTGTCAATCTGACACAATCTTCTCATGTTCTTGGCTGACCGGTGCCGTGAAAAAAASATGCAGACAGGCAAGTTTGGGAGCTTTGCAAGGGGAAGATTTTACAAGCTCAGATTAAATAGCTCAAAACCAGGAATGATTCTAAATCTTCTAGCTAATGAGGAACCAAAAGCAATTAAGGCRGGAGTGCAGGGAACAAGAACAGTGAGTTTGGAGAGGAATATTTATGCCCTCCATTGTGAAAACAAATTGCCAAATAGCTATCACTTAATTTCATTTGTGACCTGTGTTTTGTGTCAGCTGTTTCCCTCTAGAGCCATATGCAATTAAGTTGCTGCATTTTTTGYTTTATTGCTTTTGCTCTATTAATCCATTGCGATAGATAGCAGTAAATTTAAGAGCTATCAGAAACTTGTAATCCAGGTTCAATTTTCAGCAGACTTATTTTCAGAAGAAAAAATGTATTTGATTCTGAAGACTTCCTTTTAAAGAATCTTTTCAAAACTCTTTTCCACTGTTTTTTTTTTCTTTTTTAGTATATTAACTCAAGCAAGGATGGGGAAGGCTTTTTTTTCCTCTTCTATGATATGAAGGGCTAGGACTTCAGCACTCTCATATCTCTATAATCAAAAGATCAGTAATTTCAGTAGCAGGAGCGAAGAGAGGAAAACACAAGAATAATACAGGTAGTTTGGGGGCTCGATGATTTGAATAAAAAGTTTCATACAATTTCTAGTTTAAAAATACCTGTCTTAGAGCCAAAGTTCTTTGCACTTTTAAGCTAATTTGTAAAGYTCGTTCGTAGAGATTTATGATCTTTTTTATTTGATTTCAGTTTATTGGTTTGTAAACATGCAGGCTGTAAAGCTTATGAAAGCCCTTTCATGTTCTGCAGGTGCATTGACCTTGGTACAAAAAACTTTTTAAAACCAATTTTTAAACCAATACGATGTTTTAAACATTGTGTGTTCAGTACTCTTAGTTAGAAATATGAAAAAAATCCCAAGAATTTAGCTGATTGCGTGCTCTGGAGGTCTAAAGAACTGAATGGCTTTAATGTGGAGTCCTAAACTTTCTGCAGGAAGCCACTTCCTGGCCTGAAAATGAATTTTTGTGGTGAAATTTGTTAAGGGTTTGTGGCTCCCTCCGAGTTGCAACCTGTTGTTTGGGAATTTTAATGTCTAGCTTTAATGTCTAGCTACTCATTTTAATGCTGCCTTTACCATTGTTTTGCACAATGCCCTATTGTGAAYGGAGGCTTGGGGAGTTTTCCTCAGCAGATACCTGAGAGGAGCAGGAATTGCTAAAAAATCACAGACAGAAGTTTCTTGCAGACCCAAAGAGAGGGATTTTGTGGATGGGGATGTGGCTGCCTTGCAGGATGGGTAGAACCGTGTGCGTGTTAATGGTGTTTGCCCTTGTCTGTACCAYGTGGACAATCCACCATAAAAGATCCTACTGTTAATGATAAAAATGGGGAGTTAGGTGCTAATACACGTGGCATGAGAGTACTGTAATTATTTATGGAAACAACTCTTCCCCAGGCAGGTTTGACTGCCTTTGAATGAAAAAATATATATATTTAAACTTGTTTATTGAGTTTATCGAGAAATCTTTCCATCGTTAATAGACTTTGATAGATTTTTATGTTGAATCAATATATTTAATATATTTCTGCATATTCAGGATGGTCATTGAGGAAAATGTGTAAATTTAGGTGTAAATGTGTAAATATAGGAGCCCTTGGTCTCCAGATAGAACTTTTAAAAAGTTTTTTATTCTTTGATGATACATATTTTGAAGTGTATATACTGTGACTTTTATTGGCTGCTCTAGGTAGGTATACCAAATCTGTTAAGATATGTAAAGCTTAAGAATGGTCACTGGAATATGTTTTTAATGGAATGGAATATTCTGGACAGAGTAAATGAAACTAAATAATAAAGTGAAGTGTTTTCTGTGGTTGCCTGATTCGTTGAGTTTTCTGAATTGCATTTTTTTAAAGGATAATTTTAAAAATTAAAATTATCAAAGACAGAAACTTTTCTATTTGCCAGAAATGTTGGYGTGTTTTTTCTTCCCCCATAAGACACTCTTTTCTGCTTTGTTGCATCTAGCCCCATTTTAATGCTACCCAAGGTATGGAAAAATAATGCGTTCTRTCTGCTGCACGTAGACGTGTGCAACACAGATCTATCCACACCACAAATGCCCCTCTTTCCAGTGACAGGTATAAATTGATTTTCTGAGACTTTCTGATCTGCAAGATCCACATGTGAGCAGGGACATTCCTGAAGCAGCTTCACAACGTGAGTAGGAGCCTTGAGAAAGGGACCCAAGTGACTATTTGTGGGAAGTGTGAAACAGCATCTCCAGCTGTAGCAGATGTGCAGTCTGTTAATAGCGATAAAATATGGGACCCTGTGCATGTGCCATCAAGAATACTATACACTTTGATCAAGAAACTGTTTTGTGTTACACCTTTGTTTCCTGAAAAAAATCATCTTCTACTGCARCGCAGAAAAGAACTGAAATCATAAAGTTATTTGAAAATAACTGAATGAATCCCACTTTGCRTCACAATGGAGTAGAAAAACTTATGCTTAGGAACATTGTCTTGATAGAGAGCATTTAAGAACCATTACGTCTTGTTTTGTTTGTTTGTTTTTAAGCTGGACCTGTGATCTGCAGAATGCTAACATACCCTCCAACTCGAAGAGCCTTAATTGTGGGTTGTGGTCTGCAGATGTTTCAACAGCTGTCAGGCATTAACACCGTCATGTATGTATTGACTGCTTTCTTCTCCTTCTAAAGTATAAGAGCAGACAGAGCAAGGGCAATTGTTCAYGGCAATCCAGAGGGGATCTGAAATGCAAACGAGTGAGTGAATGAGCTGAATGCCTGCTTTTAAATCCGCATTTTTACATCTCAGGAAGTTGCTAATGCAAGGATAGGCACTTGTGTAGAGATGACACATTGCAGCCTATAGCAATGTGTAGGCTATAGACACGTTGCAGCCTATAGCAACGTGTAGATGTGACATTATATGTTAGATTTTACAGTCAAAGACATGTATACGTCTAGATCAGAAGCTGCTCTTGTAGGTTAGATCTGTGGGAAAAGAGCTCAAAGTACAGTGGCTGTTGAGCACGTACAAGATGGAAAATGACTGTGAAGTGCTTAAGGAGGTGACAGATGCCAAGGAAAGAAGTATTTTTCATTATTATATGGTTCCATTATCTGTAGGAAGACTCAGTAAGTGTAGAGATGAAGACAAGTTTTGTTTTGTTTTGCCTTTTTTTTTGCCTTTTTTTTTTTTTTTTTGTTACTTTTATGGAGGGTCAGTTTGATAAGTTGCCAGCTCACAGGATAAGGAGCTCTTGGTAAACAGGCAGTACAAGCAGCCTAGTTAATGATGAAGTTACTGTTGATCCAGTCTGCAAGAGTAACTGTAATAAATGCAGTTTCTCTATTGTTTTAAGAGCAAATGTAAATATTACAGTAATATCTCAGGGAAGGTTTTACATGTAAACAAGGAAACTTGTGGAGGAGGTAGTTGAAAGACACAGGTAAAAGGGTAAAGCTTTCAGTGGTATCAAGAGATACCATATTTAAACTCTTAAGGATCAGCAATCTGYCATAAGGGGGGAAAAATTACTCATTATTGTTAAACTTCAGAGAAGGGACGTCTGTAACAGATCAAAGGAGATGCTTTACAAAGCAGAGAGTGGCCATCAGTGAGGAAAGCAGGAGACAGGCTAACTGGTAAGTTAGGTGTGAAACCCAGCAGACAGGCGGGAAGGTGCTTTGATGAAGAAAGGAGATCTGATGGTGTCTCTAGGTCCAGGAACGATCCAGGCATAAGGAGAACACTAGCAAACCACAGATCTTCAGCAACAAAGTTTATAAAAGCCTTTGTAGCATCTGTGCTAACAGTGGAGCAAGTAGGGCCATCCCGTGCTGGAGTTCACTAKAGGTGTCTCAGATATCTGCTTCAAACTGAAAAGCCAAGGGGAAGAAAATCTTTGAACAAGCAGATGAAATGAATAATAACAGATTGCATGGGCTAATCAGCCTATACCCAACAGGTTAGGAGTAATTCAAACACAAAATCATCAGATTTGGGACGTTATCAACGTAAACCTGTTGGTCAGATTGCATGAGTATCAGAGGAGCTGCAGTTTCACAGGGGAGGAGGAGTGTTGCACCGAGCTATGGCACAGGAAACTTGAATCCCATGCTGATCAAAAGTGGTTGAAATTGCTATGCAATGAAATTAGAGGTATGGTTGCAAACATGAAAAATGAATGTGCAGATGGAGAACATAAAATTATTCTGAAGAGCTGACTTGKCTGTTGTAGAGACATCTTAGCTTCCAATCCACAGGAGATGTTTGAGTTGATGTCTTTAAAAGTCCTGTCTTTAAACAAGTTTAAGTTATCTTTAAAAGTCCCGTCTTTAAACAAGTGCAAACCAGCTTGTACAAGAGATGTGCCTGTATATGAGCAAACTGGGAAGGCCTCTGCAGCTTGGAAAAAGAACAAGTACAGGAGAAAGGACAGTAGAAGCTTGTAAAACGGAGATACGGAGGCTGTGATTATTCATTATTTTTCATAGCAGAGTTTTGTTGACCCCAATTTCTTAGCCTACATTAGGCTTAAAATAAACAGGAGGAAACATTTCTTCATGCAGTGCATAATTACATTGCAGAAATCATTGCCACAGGATGTTATAAATGCCAAAAGCACAAATAAGTTTAGAAATAAATTCAGGAAACTCTAGAAATGAAAATTAGTATAGTATTATTAAACATGCTGAGAATGCAACCTCTGGCCTAGGACAGACATACTCACATTTTGGTTCTCCTTTAGGAAGTCTTACTGTGACAGAAAAGAAATGGACAGAAAGTTCACAAGGTTTGTGACATTGGTAGGCTGACTTTGCTTATCTTAAACTTCCAGTCTCTTACTGTGCTCTGCAGATAGTTGGAATTAACCTAACTGGGTTTGCGTAGGAGGACAGAATTACAGCTATAAAATACAGTTGAATCTTAGCTTTAAAACACAGAAATGCCTATAATAAACACACGAAGGCACTGTTGTTAAAGGACTAACTTGTAAACTGCTTGCAAATCCAATATTTTAGTAATCCAATTTGAGTGAATTTGTATTTATCAGGTTTTGCAAGATAAGGACTTTCCTATGAAAGGAACTTTCAGAAATATAAGGAACTGTCTTCTGTCTCCAGCAAGAAGATGGTTTGCTTACATATGGATTCACAGAATCATGGAATGGTTGAGGTTGGAAGGGATCTCCAAAGATCATCTGGTCTAACCTCCCTGCTCAAGCAGGATCACCCCAAACAAGTTGCCCAGCACTGTATCCAGACACCCTTTGAACATCTCCATGGAAGGAGCCTCCACAGCCTCACTGGGCCACCTGTGCTCTGTCACCCCCACAGTGGAGAAGGTTTTTCCTCATGTTCTCAAGGAACAGCCCATGTTTTAGTTTGTGCCTGTTGCCTCTAATCCTATCATCAGGCACCACTGAGAAGAGTCTGGTCCCATCTTCTCTTCACCCTCCTTCAGATCCTCCTACACACTCATTCTGACCCCCTCGGGCTCCTCTTCTCCAGGCTCCAGAGTCCCAGCTCTCTCAGCCTCTCCTCAGGTGACAGATGGCCCAGACCCTTCAGCAGCTTAATAGCCCTTCAGTGGACTTCCAGCACCTCCATGCCTCTTGAAGAATGAAAATAACTGTATTACTATTTAACACTTACCATATTTTTCTGCATGATGCACCAACTAACAGCTCTGCTTAAAAAAAACTACTTCTTTAGTCAAAAAATCACACTGTTAAAGGTGGAATTACAGAGGCATTATAATACAGGAATTTTGCAGGAGWCTAAAAATAATCACACACTGTCTATCCTAAAAAGCAGGTGAAAAGAAAAGAAACTAAAAGAAATGAATGAAGGAACAGGAAAAGAAAATGAAGATTCAGATCCTGAAGGGTTCATGGTCTGAATATTTTCAAGTTAAAACTGGAGTATCAGTAGTGACCCCAGTGACAGCTGGGTTAATCACAGTTCTTGTAGGATAGAGAATGGGAAAAGGAGAACAAAAGAAGTGCTCTTGCAGGATGCCTGGAGAACAGCTTGGTCCGTGCAGGTGATCCAGGTTGATGCTCAGAGTCCCGTATTGTATTTGAATCAGCTGAATATATATGTGACACCCAGAAGTTCTGGGCATGAGTAGGAAGCCAGCAGAGTTGAGAGCTGCATGCAGAGCAACTTCTGCTTGCTAAAAATAAGAAAGAAAATGTAAAAATAGGCCGAGGAGACGGTGACTCTTCGAACAGATTCAGGCATGCTAAATTTAGTCAGTAAAGGGCTAAAGCTCAGTGACCTCTTGTTTTGTTTCCTTTTTGGATGTGTGTCTGTGTCCTGAGAATAAGGATGCTGATGCTGTAAGATACGGGATCTGAAGTAGGAAAAAATAATCTTTTKACCATAGGTTTTTCCAGGTTAACTGACTTATAAATGATAATTGTGTGCAGTTTTAGAGTAGCATCTCTGATGGGAATGCGAGCAAGTTGGAAAGGATTCAGGTGTTTGATTTCTTACCAATGGGGGGGATTTTCTCACCTTGAAACCGGTTTCAAGCCTAGAGTCACAAATCCCTCTGACAGGATACCAAAAAGGACAGTGGGAAGGAGGTTGCATTCCAGGATGGGAAGGAGGTTACATTCCAGGATAGCAGTTACTGCAAATCAGGTGGTTCAGAACTTGGGTGTTCAGATCACCCAAGACTTCTGCTGCATTGCGGTGTGCAGAGACTTTCAAGCCCACAGTGGCACATAGTTAAAATTCAAGGGAGGAAGAACCACCATTCTTTAAAATAAAATTTCCTGRTAAGTTTCTCTATCAGTTACTTCTAGAAGTCTTATTAAACAAACAAACACAACCTTTTTTTATTTTGCATGTCGAAGGATGCAGCCCTGTGCCCCGCGCTCTGGGTGTCCCTGCTGGAGCAGGGGGTTGGACTAGATGAGCTTTAGAGGTCCCTTCCAACCTCAGCCATTCCCTGATCCTGTGATTTGACTGTTTCTGATTGTTAAATGACAAACATGGTGTAAATCAATGTTTTAGCTACATGCTSAAGTCGCAGCAGGACGCTGACTCCTGAAAACACTCCCAATACTGTGCAGCCTCCATGCAGTCAAAACAAATCAGGGGGAAAAAAGCTCTTGGAAAAATCCTAAGTTATCTTCAATACTAAGCAGTAATTTAGCCATTACAGGAGGCAACTCAGTGTTATTTCATTGCACATGTGCTCACTCCGGCCTGAAACAAGGTTTGTGTGACCTGGGCCAGGGTTTCTTCTTCTCTTTCTGAGACCAGCTGGCTCGGAGCTAGCGGGTGTCCAATCAAACAAGCTCTCCCTGGCTTCTGGCCTTCAAATCTGTCACATCCTTTCTCGATAAGCTTAAGAGGCAGCTGCATCATCCTAATTAGTCAGATTCTCATAAAACTCTACAAGAAGCGATCTTGATGAAAGCCCAAGTAATTTCTCTTGCAGTTAGGCAGTAATCGTGATGTGATGCTGATTTAGTTGTTTGCTATTATATTTCCATATTGTGTTAGAAAAGCTTTCTGTAACTGAAACGCGGTGTATGGTGTGAAAGAGGCAGCTTCTGGCCTCAGCTTGGATTGGCATTAATGTTTGTGACCTGATAGTCCAAAAGATTATGTGAATTCACAGGTAAAATAAATCTGTGCCT